GTCTAAGATACCGATATCCGTGCCGTGAAGTAGGATCAGTCAGTGTAAAGTCGCCGCAAGCCCGAGTGAGTTGAAAAGACAAGAAACTCAACAAAGCATATTGGTATAAGCCAAATGCTGCGAAGGCCTGGACTTGAAGGGTTGTGGATACTTGATATTTATTACGTTGAACGAAACCAAGTCGTTAGGCTGTTGTGGGGCCAACGCAGCCTATGATAACCAAAAGTCAAGGGGCCGAGGTGTCCGTGTAGGATGTCTTTTGGATGGCACACATCTGACCCCACGGAGTAATCACAAATCTAGTGACCAGGGGTTCTCCCAATGCGACAAATTTCCACCCGGAGTTCGACCTGCATTTCGCCGTATTCGTTGGTAATCCGCGCAGAGTCGTCCGATCTTGGCAGAATGTGAAAATTTAGGTGCCAATAATTATCATGCGAATTACCGGGTGAGCTAGAAAACCGTCTACGGAATTCAAAAATCACGGAGTATGGTTAGATTTGAGATGGTGGCGATACAGTCCGCATGTAATATTTGGCGCCAGGCACGGGCCAAATAATGCCTGGCCCAATCCGTTTGACCACATAACGTGACCACGACCGCGAACTGCTCGATCTTATCTTATCTTCATGCGACCAAGGGGACAGATGAGGATGACATAAGTACTTGCGAGAATCCGTCATTCTTCAATCATGAAAACAGATCAGAGACAAAACGTGTCCTGTGATAGTCGGACACGTGTTGTCGTCCACACCACAGGTAGTCAAGATTTAATGTGAAGCAGCCTATGTCGAGGAGTCTTCCAGATGAACTACAAGAAGACGAGATATATTACTAGGTTCAGAGCATTAGAGCACATAAGGTAAGACTGAGCATCGCGGGCAGTGTAATTATTCCATCAACGTGTCAGCCCCTAACGTCCAAAGTAGGCGCCTATATCGTAACATACGTATCAAACGCCACGTTCATAACTGTCACGAATCATCGACATCATGGTGCGGTTGCCATCTCTCTTTGATGCAAAGCTCTCGACTTCACAAGCTTTCCAGTTTGCATGGCGCTCGCTCTCGCGCTGAGGACGGGATGAACAGTCGAATTCCGAAATGGCGGAGAGAAGTCGCCTGAAGCTAGTGCTCTATTTCGGCCTCTGTTCCGGATTCCCCGAATCATTCTCATGCCACGGATGATGTACGGGCAATCGTCATGTCTGCGTACTACATACGGTCCAACGTCCAAAGCTAAAAATTTTCCAGATGTATACTTGAATAGACGAACTCTAAGTTTAAATACATTCGTCCACTTACCATTAACGTCCACGAACGCGTGGCAGATGAAATGATATAGGAAAGTCCCCACAATTTGAAATTGATATACACTAAGTAGGCAAGGTGTAAGTGTCTGGGAAGGGCAAACAGTTCTGGATCAAGGATGGCAAAATTTGGGGGTGGGGAAGCCGTACATTCATCATGATGATTCTTGATCAAGCACTTCCCGTGAGACGGGTGACGTTGTTGTTATCAGCGTTTCGTGGAAAAGAACACGGAACGAAACTAGACCCACCCAACCTGAGAATAGATACGACATCGGCCGATACGGACTCGGAGCATTTCCCCTGACAAGAGTCCCCCAATCTCTGGAGTTTGGGTGCGCGTACGAAATGGGCCTGGCACTGGCTATAGTGTCACCATTTGGCTCGAGCGCATGACGTCGACAGATGAGCCGTCCGAGGGACACCCCATAGTTAGTTTCCAGATTTCCACGAACAGAGCGCACAGAAGAGCAGGTCTCCATGTCATTTGAAGTTCCTAGTGGGATCCATTCCTACCGTCCTTCCGTAGGTTTATGGATCACGTATCTGGTACATTGAACTCCACGAATCAATCAAACAGAGGAGGCGGACCAAGAAGTGGGGCCACCTCCACGACTCCCCACCATGATAGTAAGCATGTGGGTGAATCGAATTGTAGAATTCATTACCCAGTCCCACAACTCGCCGTATGACACTAATGTGCTGCGTGAACCAGCGCAACCCACTTTAACTCGTACGTTCTCTCGAAGAAAGAAATCAAATCAAGTATTGATTACACAGCGTGATCGCTTCCGGCAAAAAATCATACCTCCGGAGCCGGGAAATCTGGGCTGACTCAATACATGGCTGCGATCGAAGGCAATTTGCCCTCCACAACGCACTCACCTTGATGGAATAACAAACCTTCCGGTGACTGTATAGAGATCGCGCCCAGTGCGGGAAGTGTCATAGTGGGCGACACTGACGGGAGTCCTCACACATCGTATTATATAAATCGCCGAACCACCTGATCACACTTGGCTTATAGAGTCAGTGAGGTGCCGGTTTGTAAGTTATACATGTGGCCATCTGAGGTTGGTCGCCGAATGCGGTTCTCGCGCCGATGACGAGTCAAGTTTCCATTCAATGAACATGTCGCTATAGGCGATCGTGTTCATAATTTCGATCTACACGGGAATTCCTAGAATTCCTAGAATGCCGTGCGTGACGACTGTTGACTCAATCGCGGTTCAGGGTCGCCGGGAGTGGTGTGTTTGTGATTGAGACGTGGTTGTGACAACAGTGAGCGCGCCTCGTTGCACTGAGTCGCCTAAACGACGTGGCATTCATTACGCGTCACTTGTTTTGACGAAAATCGACACGTATCACTTTCTTGTTAGAAATTAACAGCGACCCTAACATAGCAAGCTGCGTAAACTTTCAATGATTTCATTTGAAACTTGTATCAGGTTGAGCTTTATAAAAGTGCGTATGTAGTTTTTTTCGACTATTATACTATATAAGTAGGAGTGGATGCTATGAGTAAAAATGATGCAAGTGCTGTTGGTGACAGTGATGATGATGGTGATGAGAAGTACAAAAAGCAAATAAGATAACAGAGCCATGAGTTAAAACAGATGAAACGCGATGAAAAAAGACGCCAAGGAACAAGAAGATGGATGGGAGTCATTGATGCTGAGAGAACATAGGACAATTATACTAGATGAAGATGTCCCCCCATTGTAAATTCTAGGAGGGACCTCGTGGAGATCAGGTTAATGATGTGTTGGCCAAGACGGTCATCAAAGGACCTTATGCTTGTAGGTGTATCGGCCGATGAACATGGGCAGACTGTGATGATGAGAATCGACCGTGGCCATGAGTTTGTTGTGCCTGAGCCGGCAGAGGAATGACGGGGAATGAACGAAGGAGTTCCAGCGTCTTGGAAGAATGCTGGGGCTGTCCTCCCTTGTGGTGGGGGTAAGCCGGCGATGAGGCTGACGTAGATGGGGTGCGCGGCGAGTCAGATGCCGGTGATGAGGATTCGGGACTTGAAGGATCCAATGCGGGCACGGGTTGTACTTGGCGCGCATGTGTCCGACGAGAATGAGGATGAACGAAGCCAGACGACGAACGGCGAGAACGAGATGAGGCGGCGACAACGGAAAGACCATCGTGATGGGCGAGAAGATCATCCTCTGTAATACCGAGCTGGAAATCGAGGACGTCGAGGAACTCGCGCTCAATACGACCGACATCCCTCTTGCCGAAAACCCCAGTACAGAGTGCCCAATGAACATTCTTGAGAGTAGAATCATTCAGGTACTGGAAGTCGGGTCAGCTGTCAAGATAGAATGAAAGGAAGATGAAGTACACACCTTTGAAGCGACAATCAGTGCGCCAAGGAAGACACGTTCAAGTGCCCACTCTTCTAATGCGATGTGTAGATGTGGCTTGGCACGATCAATATAAACAAGTGTGGCGAGAAGCGTTGGAGTGGAGACTTCAGCACGACTGATGACATTGTTGACAAAGGTAGTGAATTTGGCATGCTCTGGACGATGAGATAATGGGCGTCCATGGGTTGAAGAGGGGCGGCACATGGCGAAGTCCACTGTGTCGACTACACAATCTACCACGTACTCTGATAGCAAAGATGAGAATTGTGAACTAGATAAGATTGACTTTGACTCACCGAGGATACCACGAGTGATTTTCAGGTCGACGAGCTCAAGGAGGGCAGGGGAGTGCCGGGAAGGGTCGACAAGACTGGCGTGGTGGATAGGAGAGGACGAGGAGGAGGAGGACGAAGTCGGGGA